TGTTGGAATGAAATATAGCAAGACTTGCATTGCCTACTAAGAAAGTTAGTAGCAGGTAGTCATCGGGTTAAAATTGTAAATCTTGATATTATATACAAATTTAGCTCTTGAGTCACATCATGTTTTCTTTTAGTGGAAAACTTTTGTGGCTTTAATAAAATTAAAAACATTTCTAAAGCATGTATACATGAAAATATATTCATTTTTGGTTTTTGGTGTCCTCAGTGTGATACCTGCAGTGGAAAGATGTAATTTTGTTTGATGATATCTGGTTGTCAGTTAAGTCTTTCTTGTGCACTTCTAGGAAAAAAGCCAAAGCCCAAGAAAGAAAGAAGCAGTTGAATTGTAGACAGCTGTTTGGGCTTTCTTTTTTTACCATGAATTTTGCACATAAAAATTTGCATAAGGAGTATAACAAGGACATTCTTTAAACACTGGTGAACTGAGGACATTGATTTTTGTAATCAAGCTTTAAATGTGGTTTATGCATTAAAATATGCAAGGTCTTTATGAGCTGCATTAAAATCTTTGTTAGCTTGAACCTATCAAGAGTTTATATATTTACAATTGAAGACATAGTATATTTAAATTATCAGTTGAGGTCGATACACATTCAACTTTTACTATTGGAGTTGGAAGAATAAACAGTCAGATATGTTCAATATACACAAAACTTTTATTTGAGAACATAAAGTGTGTGAAATGCTCTCTCAGGTAGTTTATATCTTGATTGGAAATTGTATATCTATCTACATGTTATCCATGAAAAGGTTCATGTTACGAGTAATTCAGACAATGAATTCTATGTGATCGCCAAGATACTATTCTTGAAGAAACTGCCATGTCTCTTCAAGTTGGTGGCATTGGGTCTACAATACTAAGGAACCTTGCACATAATTGCAACTCCTTCAGAGTTTCTTTTTTTTTTCATAAGTAAATTTTAATGTGGTATTTTTAACTAAATATGCATTTTTGTTAAACTTCTTGTATACTTTATTTGGTTCAAATCCTCTATCAATAGCTATATACTTAATTAATAACAATTCGTTATTTAAATCTTCCTGTTTTGAACATATTGTTAAAGCTCTATAAACAAATGTATAAAACGCTGATATTTTTTGGGTTTTTATATAATATGATTCTTTGTGTGGTGAATATAGTATATAGTGGCACTCTTCAAGTTGGTGGCATTGTGTCTACAATACTAAGGAACCTTGCAGTATCATTTTCATTCACGATTTCAGGTATTTTGTCAGCCATGTATTTGCCCATGTGTGTCTGTGTTTTTACTGGTGGTTTAGTATACAACTGGTTCATTATATATGTTACTCCGACCATCACAATAAATTGCCAGTGTTTATGTTTGTGCTTTGCAGTACTAGCATCTGTTTTGAATTCTGTCGTTAGATGGGTGGACAGTTGATATTGAGTTGGAAGTTGTAGAACTGAATGTATATACTGGAAGGTGACAGATAAGTATGGACTTTTGTTATGTTCATTGATGTTCTTGTGATATTTACTGCTTTAGATAACAAGTACCAAGAATGATTTTACTTATCTTTCATCATGAAGTTAAGAAACTTCCTATGTTGGAACTTAAATGACAAGAAATTGATCTTGAATGGTTATTTGGCAAATAGCAAGGCAGTGTATGATCCTTATAAGTTAGTATCTTCACAGTCACTTAAATAATTGAATTTGTAAAGTGATTGAACTGCTTTTATATTTAAAAGCACAACAATATAAAGATAATATGGAAGCTGTAAGACCCCTTTTGTATATCTAAGTGTGGTCACAGAAATTTACTAGTAAGTTTTAGCTATCCCTGAAGAAGAGTTTTAGGGCAGCATGACTTGTGCATTAGCCTTATAGTTGGAAAGTTGTGAATTCTAAGCTTTTTCATGCCTTTGAGCAAGATACTTTACCCCAACTGTTTCAGTCTAATCAGCTATATAAAGGATACCAGTGGGTAGCTGAAGGTCAACTTGTGATGGTCTGGCAACCCATTCGAGGGGAATGTGTCACCACTCTCATCTACTTGTGTTGTTGACACCTGAGTTCATTACTGGCTATTGTATGTTATCTAGGCATGGGATAGAATTGATTTATATTTTACTGTATTTTAAAAATTAAAGAAACAGAAGTAATAAAAAATGAAAATATTGTATTGTTTGTTTACAGATTTACTTTGCTACACAGGATCAATGCCCAATTTTGCTAATATAAAAATAGGTTTGTATAAACTTCAGAACAAAGAAATAAAACTTATAATATGCACTACTGGCACTTCTGTTTAAAATGTTTAAAATTATAATAAATAATTAAAAACAATGTTTTGTATTTACACAATAAAAATTTTATTGAAGCCGTACGGCTTCCACTTTCAAATAGAAATATCACTTTACATTTACATGTTTTGACGTGATCCACATCATTCTCAGGAGTAGCTTACAAGACTGTTTTATACTTTCCCCTTGTCACATTACTTCATTGTTATTTGCATATTTCTTTAGTGTAATTGAAAAAAACAAAATTATAATATATCTTGCCGTATATCAATGGATTGACTTGCTGGTCCTTTGCTTCTATTTAATACTTGTTTTGTTTTTTATATTTCATTATTTCTAATATTTCTCTAATATTTAATGATATAAAACTTTGAGGTTGAGCCAAAATTAAAGTTTTTTCCCATAATATTGTATGTTGGGTAGTTTTTACATGTTCGGCTATAGCTGACATTTCTATTTTGTTTTTTCTTGTGTAACTTTTGTGTTCTTGCAATCTATATTTTAAATTTCTTTTAGTTTGACCAATATAAACACTACCACATTCATATTCTATCTTGTATATACCTGTTTTATCTGTTAATTCTGTTTTGTCTTCAGCATTCCCTATCATATCTTTTATCTTATTTATTGGTTTGAAGACAGGGTAAAAATTCTGATATTTTTTTAAATACTTTATATAAGTGACTTGTCAAACCTAAAACATTAGGTAAACTCAGAGTTTCTTTTTTTTTCATAAGCATATTTTAATGTGGTATTTTTAACTAAATTTGCATTTTTGTTAAACTTGTTAAATGCCTTGTCTACTTTATTTGGTTCAAATCCTCTATCAATAGCTGTATACTTAATTAATAACAATTCGTTATTTAAATCTTCCTGTTTTGAACATATTGTTAAAGCTCTATAAACAAATGTATAAAACGCTGATATTTTTTGGGTTTTTATATAATATGATTCTTTATGTGGTGACATAACAATAGCAAAAGGTTTTCTATAAACTGATGTTTCTAAGTTACCTTCTGCTTCTTTCCTAACTAATACATCTAAGAAATTAATGCTATTATTATTTTCAATTTCACATGTGAATTGAATTGCTGGTTCTTTACTATTTAAATAACTCAAAATTATTGTAGATTGCTGTTGTCATGTTGCCACACCACGAATGTGTCATCTACATATCTTATCCAAACTTCTAGCTTAAACTTAGTGTTATTTAAAGCTTAGTTTTCAAAATTTTCCATATAAAGGTCACATAACAAAAACCTCTTTTTATTTATAATAATTTTGATTAACCTGGAAAAATGGATTATCTACACACACTCTTGTTAATTTCAATATATCTATATTTTTGACTGTTGGTACTCTGTTTTCTATTAATTTATTCTTAAAACACCTAATGGTGTTTTAGTAAACAACGATATTACATCAAATGATACCAGTAAGTCTTCCTTTTCTAATTTTAGGTTTTTAAGCTTCTCTACAAATTCTATAGAATGTTTGACTGTATGTTTATTCTTATTTCTCAAAGAAGAGTACTTACGTGTTATAAATTTTGCTATTTCATAAGATGATGAACCTATATTTGATACTATGGGCCTAAAGCTTATGTATTTTTGGTGTGATAAATCTACTTGGTACTAAACATTTTCTCTCTTCAGGAGTTAAAATTAGGCTATTCTTAACATTAGTTTTTACGTTTTCATGATATTTGTTTATTGGGTTATTCTTAAGCTTTTCATATGTACTATCTTTCAATATGTCTTCTACTCCCTTGTCATAATCAATTTTGTTAAATATTACAGTTTATCCCCCTTTATCTGCTATACAAATGATTATATTATTGTATTTTGGCACTTTTATATAAAGTTAAAATTATAAATAATATTCAGTGTTAAATCTGGTACTCAATTAAAAACATTTTATTTAGGCCTAATATATGGCCTTCAAAAAGTTGACGACTACATGTTTCGACGTTGCAAAGTCATCCTCAAGAGTGAATTACAAGACAATGTTAAAGTATTTATAACTTGTTAGTAGGTCATGTGACCTGTATGCTATTTTACATAAATTCATGCTAAACCATTTAAAGGAGATCAATCCACATTCTTGCAGAATACTTTCACATTACAAAAAAAATTGGAGTATATACAATAGCATGTGAATGTGGAAGTATTTACATTGATCAGACAAAACGTAATTTAAAATACAATTTCATTGAGCATGAGGGATATGTAAAAATTGAAAAAGTGAAAATTCATCCATAGCAGAACATGTACAGGAAATACAATATTATGGGAAAAAATTGTAATATTAGCTCAACTAAAAAGTATAATTGGTAATAATATTCATGAATCCTTAGAAATAATAAAACATAAAAAAGGTCATGTAGTATTAAATAGAGATGAAGGTATGGCAGGTATTGAATGGTTTAGCATGAATTTATGTAAAATAGCATACAGGTCACATGACCTACTAACAAGTTAAAAATACTTTAATGTTGTCTTGGAATTCACTCTTGAGAATGACGTTGCAATGTCGAAATATGTAGTCGTCAACTTTTTGAAGGCCATAGATAGGCCTAAATAAAATGATTTTAGTTGTGTACCAGTTTTAACATTGAATATTATTTATATATTTATGATTTTGATTATATTACTCTTTTCTTTTATTGATTTTATTATTTTATAATCAACATTTTGTTTATTATAGTTCAGTTTGAACTTTTTAATAATTTTATGACATTCTACTCTAACAGCTTTTACATCATTAGAACTTCTTACTTAACTTAACTCAATTTCAATATTTGTTATAATTTTGTTCTTACTATAATTTGTTAATCTAATTGCACAACCGAAGCCTTTTTCTAACACTTCCTGTTGTTTAGTATTTAACGTTTCATTTTAATTATTAACAATTTGAGGATTCTCTAAAATATTCTTATATTTTTCTGGTAATGTTCATATTTATTTTGATTTCCTTTTTCTTTTTCTGTTAACTTATTAAATTTATGATCTAATTTTATCTTATATTTATCAGTCTTTCTTCATACGAATCCAATAGATATTTTTTCACATTTTAATCAGTTTTGTCCATTTTCCATTACTGCCACCAAATGTAATTCATACACTTTGTACTCTAGGTCTGCTATGAAACTTTTTTTTTTGTTGTATCGTAATCCTCAATATCTGTTGCTTAATCTTGTTTAAACAGTGGTCGATTTTCTTTCCTTTCATGTTACTTCTTACTTGTATAAACTTTGAATTGATACTATTTCTTTTGCATTTCACTAAAAAAGTTAATTGAAGTATCTTCCTTTTCAACTTACTCCTCTGACTTACAAATGTTTTCCTTATAAATCCTGTTGCAGTCTTTTCCATATTCCTTTCCTTAAAGGCAGGTGGTATTCCAGGCCTACTAGTTTTAGCTCAGCCTTAAAATTTTGTATCATTTAATATCAGAGAAACATCAGAAATAACAAAATATAATAAACAAAAACAAGTATTAAATGGAGAAGAAGGACTAGCAAGTCAATATGTTGATATATAGCAAGATATATTGTAATTTTTTTTTAAAATTACACAAAAGAAATATTCAAATAATAATGAAGTAATGTGACAAGGGGAAAGTATAAAAGTATAAAACAATCAGAGGATGACGTAGATCACGTCTAAACATGTACATGTAGAGTGATATTTCTATTTTAAAGTGGAAGCCGTACGGCTTCAATAAAGTTTTTATTATGTAAATATAAAATGTTGTTTTTAATAATTTATTATAATTAAAAAAAAACTTGTAATGTTAGAAAGAAACAAGTGTATTCAAACTTGTAGAAGATGGGACATTTTTCACAAACAAATAAGAACATAGTCTGAAGTATGTAGTTATGTAATTTTTAATCAAATAAATTTCACTTATGTTTCAGAAAAATATAATGAAAAATTGCAGTTTGGAGAAACATGTTTAGAAAATTTTATTCAATATTTTCTCCTTAATCAGTAGCATTTTGTAACTATTTAAAAAAATGCAAATATTAGTAGTAAAATGGTAGACTACTGTTTTAAAGTTAAATCTATAATAACAATCTATGTTGTTTATTTTTAGCAGATCTGTTGGAGTGTGGAAAGTGTGGAGCAGTTTTCAATAATATTCATCATTTCATTGATCATAAAACCTCAGCATGCAAATCATTAGAAGGTGCTATATCAATAACTGAAAGAGTTTCGAGATCTAGAGGTAAGGTGAGATTATTTTTAGTGCTGTGATTTTAACAATTCTGCCACTCTAACCTTTCTCATGTCCATCAGTCATATATTATAAATACTATCGTTTGGTAATCCAGTCAAGTACAACAGATCTTTATTCAAACCATATTAAAGTTTTTTTTTTACCATTGAATCGTCCAAAATACATACAATAAAATTACAAATACTAAGAGTAGCTGTTTGTATTGTTTTAAGTCTCAGTTTTACACTTTACAGCGAAGATATTTTTGCTAGTGGTTGTTTTACAGTTATAAAAATACAGATTAATTAGGCCTTTTGATATTGTACTTGGGATTGTATCCTGTTTTATCTTCATTTTTTATTCTTGCTTTATGCCAAAATCTGGTTTTTCTGATTAGTTACTTCTACAGTTTTCTATGAAATTTTACTAAAATTTTGTAGAAATATTAAATAATAAATATAAATAAATCTTCAAGAGAAAAGAATTTTCAGTATTAACCCCCACTAAAAGTTTTAAATTTTTTCTTTACTAAGTAAAATTATGTAATCAGTAGGGAATATGTTGGTGTGGAAGTTCATCAAGTTTTGTTGAAGTCTTATATACCTGGGCATAACTATCTTGTTTTGATGAAATTCCTCTTTTTTTTTAACAGGATTATGGCCAGTTTGTGTAAAGATTGTTTTCAGTTTTTAAAACATAAAATAATTTCATGAAGCATGCAACATTGCTTTTTTTTATAACTTTTTTATTTCACATTTAACATTTTAGAAGTTTTCTCAAAGATTTGTGTACAGTTGTGGCAGATTATTTGTTTTGTGTCATAAGCCTGTAGCGTAATAAATTAGGTGCACACCTGCAGTTTCTTTCTTGCTAGTCAGTATAGAGAAGAAATAACTTAAACATGCCTAAGTTATTTTTGGTGCCACATTAGTACCAAATACTTAAAAATTGTGTGTGTGAGATTTTGTGTTTCTTAAAAATGTAATTTAAACCTATGATTTCACTGTGAGTTGACTAGTTGCAAATGCCCTTTCTATAATTAACAGTTGACTATTTTTGAACAAAGTTCCATTTAGCTGGTACCACTTTCCAATAAATTTTTAGAAGGAAGAAACAAGTGTTTAAAATATTTAAAATAATTATAAAATTCAGTGTAAATGACTTTAGTTATTAACACTTACATTGAGACCACTGAACAGAAACATTGGTGTTTAAATGTAGGTTTGAGCATGTATTTTTATGTCATCATTTAGTCCATGTAATAGATATATACTTATATACAGTAATACTTGTTTCAAAATGCTTGTTAAGGTCATTTATCCAGAGAATATAAAAAGAAATCTCCAAAGCTAAAGACTGGGCCAACTTCTAAATGGAAAATTAAACGTCATGCTTCAGCAGCTAAAACTAGATCAGCTAAGTCTGGATTTTGTGGAAGAGTAGATAAGACAAAAATAACACTATCTAAGCAGAAAGACCAGCAGCAGTTGTCTGCTGGGAGATTGACCACTCCAAGCTCTAGTGACTCAGGTACCTCAACAAATGTAACAGTTTCCAAGAGAAAAAGTTTGGAAATATCCAATCTGAAAAGGGGTGCATATAAAACAGGTTCATTATCTTGTGAGTTGGATGCTGCAACAAGTAGAACTCCAAAGGTATGGGATAATATTTTTACATTCTTCATCAAAAAACAAAATACTTTTTTTAAGTTGTAAAAATATAGTAAAATAGGACAAATATTTTTTCTTCATGTCTATTTACTGGTGCTGAAGTCAAAGATATATAATACAATTTAGTGTAAAATAGTAAAATTATGATAAACACTTGATAAAAGTGTTGTCCAGCTTTTTTTTTTATAACTTTTATTGAGGTACAGTATTTGTCACATGATTAGTTTTATTCATTAAATATACCATTGTTAACTTGGTCAGTTTTGAACTTTTCAATAAAGAAGTATCTATATTGTTCAAGAACTCCATGATGAATGACAAGTGAGTGCAGCAATAAACATTTACAAAATAGATAGTTTTCTTTACTGAATATTGGAACTATCCAGAAAAAAGTGTTGGTTGACTGTTGAATGTTCATTGCCACGATTGATTATTGATTGGCCATAGGTTTAGTCTATGATATGTTATGTATAAGATTGTTTACAAATAAGTTTAAGCTATCCCTAAAGACCAAATTTGGTCAGTTTATAGCTTTTTCAATAAAGAAACATCTATACCATTCAAGAATTGCATAATGATTGACAATCAAGACAAAAGATGTTTGCTTTAAGTTTTTGAAGCTAATTTTTCATTTGTTAAGAGCACAACAGTTCTCTGATGGTCTCTTAGTCAAGCCTTGGTCGAGGCATTTGTTTATATGGATTTTGAAAAGGCATCTGAAAAAAGAAAAAATGCTTGATATTTGTTAAATTCTTTTTTCTATCATGATTTGTGATGCTGTGATGGTAAAACAAGTTATTTAGTATGATTTGCTATAGAATATGTCAATGGATTGTTAAATTAGGATAGAGGTACATTTTTGGTGAGAGTAATATGTGATGGTAAAAATACGTAGTTGTGCCTCCACCAGGCTTGGCACGGCCTGTTGGTAAAGCCACTTGACTTGCAATCTATGGATTGTGAGATTGAAACCTGTCATTAAAGTATAGTTTCTGACAAAAATAATGAGTTTTAGAGCTTAACACAGGATGGTAAAAAAAAATCTGATATAGGGTTAGAAGTTTAGCTTCTTTTTAAACATTGATTTTTGATTTTTCACAGGATCTTTTATATCTAATACTTGAAATTAGAGAATTTTAATATATATATATATTTTTGGGAATGTGGCCTCAACAAGGCAATAAAAACAACATTTTCAAAAAGTAATGTCAGTAGCATTGAAAATGGCTGAGCTGTTAAAGGTTAACTTTCAATTTTTAATTCAATACTTATGTAGTCATCCAGGAAGGTAGCAGGCTAGTACATTATATTTTTTGTTTGTAACTCAACCACAGTTTTGTTTGAGTGAGCTTCATCACATATGTATTTTCTAGGACAAGTTTAATGGCATTTCAGTAATTTCATGGATGATACCTGTAGCTCTGTTTAAATGCTTTTTAATTCAAAAATAATATTTTACAAATGATATTTTATCTTGTAACATATTAGGATAGTTTACAGAGAAAAAATGAAAAAATAGCTCAAACATATTTTTATGTAGCTCCAAGAAGTCTTGCATGTAAACAACACATATTGATTTATTTTTCAAAATTTTCTGCTCATTCCAAAACATGGGTATATATTTGTGTTGCACATGATTTCCTTATCTTTCACTGATTTGAATATTACAGCATCTTGTTTCTTCCCTTTTATGAATAGGTAAGAAAGGTATTCAAAGTAGAGAAGATCCTTGACAAGAGATATGTTAAAGATGAAGTGGAATATCTCATTAAGTGGGAAAATTATCCGGAGTAAGAAATATTTTTTGTTTAAATTGTATAAAAATCATCTACTTGAATATATTCTTTTTTGTTTCTAATGAAAATAAGATATAGCTACTTTTGTTAGTACTTATGAGGAAATTTCAGTTAAAGAGTGAGAATGAGGATTGATAACATTCATTGTTGTTTTTAATCTTGAATAATATTAACATCATTGTAAATACTAGTTGGATATATAAGGCTTGAACTCTTTGCAAAATATTTTGTATGAAAGTTTTTGCAAATAATTGTTGTAATGCATAATAATATTTTGTAGGGTCAAAAAAGTGTGTATTTCCTTGTTAGGCTTCAAACATTGTACAAAGCAGGACACTGGTATGTTCATATGCTTACATGCATATGTATATGTCAGAGTATCTTGCTTAGAATATTGTATGTATATTTTCAATTCTATTCTTGATCATTTTACTAACCCTTTTTCCACTGATTTTTTGAAACTAATATTTAATCCTTTAATGCAGTGTGTAGATAAATAGCATGAACATTTGTTTTACACTGTCACAACCATTCCATTATTCTCTCACCCTACTTAAATTACCTTGTGGTAAATGAGGTTAATAAAAATCACCTCTGGTTTACTAACAGTTTAAATAGTTTTTGTTAATATTTGGGGGTGTCACTGTTTTTATAGTAGCAAATGAAATTAGAAGAGTCTGGAGGATATTTTGAATGATCAAGAATATTCGTTTTATTCTAAGCACACAGTTTTTTAAATTGAATTTTAAGTTTGTTTCTGTTTCAAAAGTGATACTTAAGTGAGAATTATTCGATTGATTTAGCAGCTTTTTTATGATTTCTACTGGTTATTTTTAGCATACATGTTGGTTGATGTAAAATATATGTGGATTTAAGAATATTCTAGAAATTTTAATTTATATGTAAGCACTTGACTCTACAGTTTGCAGAGTTTATTATTGCAAAAACTTGTTTTATTTAACACAGTTCATGAGCCAGGCCTAGACACATCGTATAACTTTGTTAGGATTTTTTTTAGCATGAATGTGGAACTATGTTCTAAGTGCTAAAAATAACATAAATCAATGCCTTTATGAAACAGGAGATCAAGGATACTTTAAAAAGAAAATATTTGTATATATTCAAGAAAGTTTGGGCTTTTGGAATTCATGAGCCTTACACTTAGAAACTGTATGTTAATTGGATAGAATCACTTTGTAGTAATGGTAATGAGCTCTGTTGTTTCTTATGTACTTCTTTTCATTTTGACATTCATGGAGGTTATCTTGGATTTGATCTAGTTGTCAGTAGGATATGGAGCACAAATTTCTGCTTGGGATATGTCATCATGCTGAGGATATTGTTCCTTGAAGATTTGTAGAGCATTTAAAGGTGTAATATTACCATTGTTTTCATCAAAAATGCCAAGTATATGTTGAAGATGTGGTTGTTGAATGCCCCTGGTATGTGTCCTGATAGTTCCATCAATGTGTTGTTTCCTGAGCAAAGTAGATATAACCTGCCACATCTCATTTTAGGATGGAATATCAATACGCTGAGGATATTTATTGACCAAGTATTCATGCATTCTTCTGGTACTGATCTTTTTGGCATCATCAATAGCTCCTTCTTGAAACATTTCTGTGATTTCTTCTCTGAAAGGGTCAATATACTTTGAACCATAACATCCATATGCTGGTTGTAAGGCCCAACCTTGGGGAAATGTTTCTTTGCTACTGATTGAATTAATTTCTTCCAGTAAAATGGTTTTAGGCTACAGGGAAAAGGTATGAAAAACCTTAGCCAATAAAACAAAAAGCCAAATTCACAGCCTATTAAAAAAAACTAACAAAATCTTCCTGGTCTGGTTCGTGAATGCAGTGTTAATATATTTTTGATATTGGAGTAAACATATTCTTTTAGTATATACACCTGAAGAACTAAACATTTCTGGGACAATACAAAAAAAATTATATTTTCATTGTTGAACTTTTGTTTAAATCTCATTTTGTGCATTTAGAAGGTTTTTTTTTAGAATTGAAGAATGTGCCCATGTAAGTTGTATGTACAGAAAAAAATTAGGTTTAGTCACCACACAAAATGAAATGGCTATCGCTTGATACCTGTTCACTTTTAATTCTTAATAAACCAATAAAAATACATGTTTATTGAGAAAAAATTATACGAGAAAAAATCTGTCTTTTAAAGTAACAGCTCTATTTTTAGTTAACCATCTGCTCACAGGTCTGTCAAATTCATCAATCTTGTATCTGTGATGCTGTACAGATAAATGTTTACTATAATTCTAACTTCAATATGTGTATCTTCACAAAATTTGGCAAGCTTTTAGTGAACACTAGTCTGTACACAAAAAATCAGATTTCTTTAATAAAGCATTTTTACTGAAGAGTTGTTTGTTTATTTTTCTGAAGCCTTTGCTGAATGTAATTTTCATGCCAAGAATAATACTTCTTTTCATATTACAGTTTATATGTTTCATTTGCATAACCTCTAGAATCTCCTATAAGAATTTAAAAAGTTCTTTTTTGCACACGTCATTTTAGTTTTGTGTATTTCTATAATCCTAGTGTCAATAGCAAGAAATTAAAGCAAGAAACCAATAACTGTTTCTCTTAGAGCTAATATAAGCACCATGTTTCACAAAGCTCTTGAGCTCTTGAAATTTAAGGCATTTTACTAGAGTTATGTTAGGCTAAGCTGAAAAGTTTCTGATTTTTACATATTGACTACTTTTGTTCAAAACTATATAATAATAAGTAAAATATATACATAAAACAAGGATTTCTAGTACTTTCAAGCTCTTTTGTACTTGAGTAAAAAATTTTAGATGTTCTTCTGTAAACCTCATTGAATATCACACAGTTGGGTCCAAAAAAGAATTCATGTAATTTTCAGATGTGTTTTTTAGAACACAAAATGTATATCAGTCACTATAATAGTACTCCAAAAGTACTATAATTTATCTAGCTTTCTAAGTAAGTTATAAAGAAGTTAAAAACAATTCCTTAAGTGTTGGGAGCACCAAAATATGATCACCATATACTAAGCAATTCTGCTTGCAGTTTACGATGGGAAAACCAAACAATGACTTACAAGATTTTTGTTCAGAAAAAAAATGCTCTTTCTGTAGCTTGTAAACATGTCCATCAGCCATGTAAATTTGATTAGCAAACAGCCACAAAAATTGGATAGAGAGGAAATATTAAACAAATTTCTAAGTTATCACTCTTCTGTGTCACTGGTGTATTTGCACTTTGATATCTTTCTTTCCAAATTTACTAACATCACAAATAAGCTACTGAGACTCACAAGTAATTAGAAATAAATAAGTACCCATAATGACAAACAATAATATAAAATTTTAACCTCCTACATTATTGACTTGCTGCAACTGATAAGTTTATAAAATCCACTAGAGAGCCCTCCAATCTTTTCATGCATTTCAAGCCTATTATTTATATCATTCTACTTGTTTGATGGGCATGTTTATTATGAATAGAAAGAGCTTATAATGTACAGAAATCTTAAGACCATTTGTTTAAATTAGGTAGTTGCTTTTAGAAATAATGGAACAATAATTCAAATACAGTAATTAAAAATTTTATAAGCTTGTGAACTTGAGCTCAAAGTATGTGTAACATGGTTTGTTTGTTTATGAGATGAAATATATGGGCTTTTGCTGTGTACTTATTGTTTTGCATGGAGTAATAACATTAAAAGAAAACAGACATGAAAAGTTTAAAAGTAGAAATTGTGAAGATAATGAAAATTGAAGATCTAGCAATAATTGGTGTTTTCAAAAGTAAAAAAAAGTATTTTATTTCAAAGCTTTCAACTTTTAATTTCATTGTACATTGATGAATTGATTACAGTTGTTTTGGGGTATAGAAAATGACAGTTTAAAGGCTTCATAAATTCTCAGACAAATATTTAGTACAAATACTTTGTTCAAAACAAATTGTTTTTTTTGTATAAACCAAGTTATTTGTTGTTTGCTAAAATCTTGTCAGATTTCTTGAAAATAGGCTTAGTAAATTCATAGTTATAGTATGTATAATTTCATAGTTCTAACTAAGATGGGTCAAATTGATCCACTTCATGTAGAAAAAGTTAAATGCTTACCTTCAGAAACTAAATTCTGTCTTAGTTTATTTTTATCTCTAAAATATATATATGCAAAATTTAATATCAAAGCATACTGGTTTCTGAGAATACGATAAATCATCATCTTGCATGTTTTCATGATGATATCAAACGTATAATTTTAACATCAGTTGTAAAATGCTGAAATAAAAACATTCTCAATAAGTTTCTTCATTGTAATTTTTCTTTTCCAAGAGTTTAAAATACAGCAACACACATTCAAAATTGATTATTATCAGCTGACATGCTAAAACTTTCCTGAAAGAGCTGTGGCTCTACTGCCTATGTAGGAATGGCCCAAATTGTTCACCAAAATGGTAATTTAAATATCTCCTCAATAAGTCACCAGAACTTTACAACACTATACAGTGTTTCCTTTTATAATAATATCTATGTAATGACTGAGTCATAAGTTCTGGCAATCTCTTGTAAATATCACAGCAAAAAAGTTAGAATTTCTTGTTCTTCTTTTTGCTGCTTCTTTATTATATAACTCAAACCAAAACAATGATGTCAGCCAATTTCACTGAGGTGACATAGTTTCAGATGGAGTATCTGCTTTTCTAAGTATTATTAACTTTTAGTAATTCTAGTGTAAACAATGTTATCATTACCCCTTGAAGTTAGCTTTCTTACAGAAATTTGTTGTTACTTTAAAAAGCTTAGATACAGGGTGAAACAGGAATTACCAGCCAATAATAGATAAACAATAAATATTACAGCTGGAACCTCATTGTATTTAGGACTTGGTTATAAATACAACATTTGTATGTCTATTGAAACACTGCATTAAAAAAACAAGCAAACAAGTAAAGAAAAACTTTTCAAAAAAGGAAGTAAATGTAAGGATGGCTAATACCAATCCTTCAAAAAGAATGCAAACAAGATAGTAGGGATGGGATTTGCATCATCCCTACATAATAGCACAGGCAAAAATTAACATGCATACTATCTTGTTGGCATTCTTTTAGAAGGATTGATATTAGCCATCTTTACCTTTACTTTTTGAAAAGTTTTTCTATACTTGTAGATATACAGTTGGTAAAATTGACTTAGATGGTATATGAATTCTCCTTTTGCCAGAAAACTTTCTACAACATATTTTCTTCTTCTTTTATATTTTAGCATGAAGAAAATATTCAAAACTGTTTTTCAGATGTAGTGTTATTTGCCATTTTCTGTTTATAGAACTGAAAACTGTTGGGAACCTGAAGAAAGTATTTTAAGCAAGGACCTTATAGAAGAATATGAACAAAGTATAACCTCACCAAAAAAAAGAAAAAATGAAACTTGTGATACACCTCCTGTGGAGTTGAAGAAATTCAAGATGGAAATGGAAGTAAGTATGGTCTGTCATTAATTTTTCTCAAGTTTCTGAACTTTTGTGCCTACAGATCAACTTAATCTTGTTTCTTATAATATTCTTTAATTTACAACTGCTTTTAGAAATAAATGATTTAAATGCTACATTTCATAACTTTATTTCCCTAGTACTTACTAGTAAAATTATTAAAGAATGTTCACACCCTATAGATCAAGTGAAATACACTTGTTAAAGATTATGGAGTTTTGTGAAAGAACAATTCTATTTTTGAAGTATGTGTGTGTACACGTATATTTGTTTTCTATTATTTTGTTAAGGTAGTGGCTATTTCATGTTAAGGTTATCTGAGACTTCATCAGTATTCAGAAAATTAGTAAGTTAAGTAACCCTCTTTTTCCTTATTAATTGTTACTTCAGGAAAATTGGAGTAATGTTATTAGTTTTATTTGGTATTTTGTTGGGAGCTATGATTACACACACACACACACACACACACACACCAAAATATAAACTTAAGTTAGAAATTATGAACACTGAAATATTTTGAAGCTTGGTAATTAAACACAGCAGTATGCAAGAGCAATATTTTAATTAAATTTTTGTGTGTATGCAGTGCACATGGATTTATGTGAAGGAGTTGAAGGACTACTAAGAAAAAAATAGACTGATCAGTATAGTCCTTCTCTTCCTTTGTGTTTGTTCACTGTGTGTGTGTGTGTGTGTAGATTCACAGACTCTTGATGTACATGAAATCTATATTTACAAAATGTTTTTTTAAGGTACAGCCTGATGATGACATGCTTAAGTATGTAACTGTTATTGCTTACTGATAAATGGGTGAGTGTGTTTAAAAACATGCAATAAAATGAAGTATAAGCTTGCATTTTCTCTCCTAGTTCATTGTATAGAAGCCATATGTATTTCTTTGTTTTCTTTTGTAGAACTGTGTGGAAATTTCTCAGAAGCAATTACTACTGATTAAAGATAAATCTAATTTGTCATCTCAAGATACTTCAGACAAAATGAAAGATACAGATGTTTCAAAAATAGCAGAAGTTCAAAAGGAGGAACAAATAAATTGTCTATCCATTTCAAAAGCAAATGAAATTAAAAAAATTGAAGATGTTCAAGTTCCAATAAATGAAATATTACTGCATGGTGATAAAAGTGATTATATAGTAACAGAAGACCATAGTGAATCAGTGAAAACTGAACAAACCCAGGTGTCTGAAGAGGATAGTCGTAGTAGACGCTCCACTAGTCGAGTAGCCAGAGATTTTATTAAATCTCTCTGCCAAGGGATCCAAGACACAAAAAATGTTGAAAAACCATGGGAACAAGAGAATACGAGTTTAAAAAAAAGAGGATTTGAAAATTCGTTTCAGAATTTTAATTTGGGATATGACTATGAAAATGACTCTTCAGTCATTTTTATTCCTTCTCCTAACATTAATGTTAAATATTCAATCAGAAAGTTATTTTCTTATTTGATACTGGATCCTAGGAAGTCGAAGTCTTATCTTCTGGGACGTAATGCCATGTATCGTGGGAAGGAGGATCATCAAAACAAAGACTTACTTAGCCTTCTCAGCAGTCATGTGAAGAATCTGTACATAAAAATGAAGCGTGAATCTGTACATAAAAGTTCAAGGGGTAGGGGCCGAGGAAGACCAAGAGGTTCAGGCCGTGGTGGAGGAAGAGGAAAAACAAAAGAACAAGGCAGTATAGTGATGGCCTCTCTTGAAAATGAGAGTCATTATTTTAGTCCAACAGGGAAAGGGATGGAATCTGAATTTTCAACAAGAAAACTTAGTGTTACTCGTGGAGCCATAAGGTCAAGAGGTCGAGGCAGAGGAAGAGGACAAAATGTGAAAAAAAGCGATAGAGAAAATGTGCATATCAAATCTGAATATAAAAGAAGTTCTAAGGATGATGAAGTTGTAAAAATTGGAATAAAGAAACACAAAACAAACGTATCAAAAACACTTTCTTCTTTGAAAAAAGGACGTGGAGGAAAAGTTGCTTCTTTTTCTTCAAAAGTAGTCCAATCTAAGATTCTTTCAGGTGATAATCTGTATCATTCAGAAACTACTGTCAAAAGAAAAGTTGGAAGACCACCAAAGAAACCAAAAGACCAAGGCCCTGGTCCATTGTCTAATCAAAGTGGACTGCCTCCTCACTTAGTGGGGCCTCCCCCATCAGAAGAATTGTCTTGGGATGATGAAATAGGAAATCAGCATAAAAACCGTATTTTTGTGTCAATGCCAGATAAGACTGTGATGGAAGTAAGGTGTTCTGACACACAAAAAGCCTTGCTGAAAGCAGAGTTAGCCTTTAGAACTATGACAAATTCTAACTTGCCTCAGGTAAGGAATAAAATACTTATCTAATAGGCAGTAAATCTTGTAAAATTTAAATGAAATACCTAAATATTATATCTTCCAGCACAGATAGCATGATTCCAAAGGAGTTCTTTATTTATATCTATGTTCTGTATGTGAATATGGAGCTATCCTCTGACTAGTCTGAATGTTCAGTCAACATAATGATTAGCAGTAAACAAATAATATAGGTGATTAATACTGCATTGAAATTGCCTAACTTAAATGAAAGATAACATTTTTTTTACTAACCACTACTGTAATTATTTTACAGAAATGCACATTGAACAATGCTGTGTACATGACATAACACTGTTATGTAAATGTAGTAAATACCGTATTTTTTGGTGTATAAGACACACTTTTTTACCCCAAAATTTGAT